CCTCTGCCACCCTCACCGACCCCATCCTTGTCTGCTTTTCTCTCTCGCTCATGATGCTCCAGTCCCTGGTTCTCTGTCCCACCCCACTGCGCCGACGCCGGTGTCCCAGGCTCTTCCCGCACCTGGCTTCTCGCCACTCAGGCTCAGCCCCGGCGTCGGCCTCTGAGGAAGCCCTTCGCCAGCCACCCTGCTGGGTGCCGCCCCTCCGACTCCAGGTGACATCGCCCTGTTTTGTTTCCTTCAGAGTGTGTACGAGCCCCTGAGCTCATACAGTTCCTCCTTAGCTGGAGTCGGCCTCCTGCACTAGAACGCAAGCCCCGTGACATCGGGGAATCCACTGTCTAATCGGCGCGGCAGCCCGTGCCAAACAAGACAATGGCCACAGTGTTCCGCCACAGAGCCCCGCCCCCTTCCGTGGGATTAGCTTTCAAGGGTGGGTACCTGCGGCTCTTTAGGCCTGACGTTGACTGTCACTCAATGGCCAGTCCCAGCGGGCTGTCCCCGGCCCGGTGGCCTGCCCTGGAGGAAGCGGAGGCATCCGTCTACTCAGAGACCTCAGCTTCCAAGCGCCAACCAATGCAGGGCCCGCTGCGCCGTTTGCTTTGCCCGATTGTCCAGGGCTGGGCAATGTTCCTCCGTCGGGTCTTCACGTCTCTCGTAAACATCGTGGGCACGGCCCTGAGCACAGTGGGCAGTCGTACGTGCCGCCGGGTGTCATGTCCAGGGGTTCCCGGAACTCCCCAGGCTCATGATGGAAGGGGGGGGCGCGACCCCTGCCCTGAGACCGCACGCCAGGGCTCCGTGCGGGGGACGGTGGGCCCTGCGCTGCTCAGGGGCTGCCTGGCCAGGCCAGCGCACAGGGCCGTGCCGGGAGGGGACAGGAGGCGGGGTGGGAGGCAAGGGAGCGCACGATGGAGACGCTGGGGACAACCAGGAAGAGCCCCGGGGGGGGGAGCTGCGGGTCCTCGCGCAGCGGAGGACGGGAGGCCGGCGACCGCCCCACCCCCGGTGGGTCCTCGGCCCCGCTCTCGGGTCCTGCCCCTCGGGGCAGAGGAGGGCTTCTCCCCCACGAAAGCAGGAGAGTTCTGGAAATTGAGAAGCCAGTCCAGAAACACTCGTAAACATACACAGATGGGCATCCACTCACAGGATCTCGGGCCGGGTGGCAGTGAGCTTATTTCTGCCGCCATGCCAGGGGCCCCGCCTCTGTGACCTCTGTGCTCTCTGGGGAGCACCCCGGGGTCCCTGTGCGTCCTCCCTGCGCCCTGCCCATCACCCGTTAACCAAGATGAGCGTACGTGCTCGTGGGCCTCTCGTGGAGCCTGGGGGAGGATCCTCCGAGTAAACCGCATCCTGACCTGGAGGTACACCTGGCAAGGTGACCTTGTAGGCATTAGACCAAGGTCAGACTGAGAACCAGTGTGCTGGTTGGTCAGGCTGTGAGGAAGAAGACTCGTGTCCCTGAAACCTGGTTCGGCGGGCTCCCTTTGTTGCCCTGAAGGAACACAGGGTGGTTCCCAGCGCCGAGCGCTTTCCCGGCACGTGTCTGCCAGACGTCCGTTAGAACCAGAGCGCCGCAGGGACGGGGCGGCGCGGGGGCCCGCCCTCACAACCCAGAAGGGGTGGAATCCACTCTCAGAACTTCCTGCGCGCGAATCGAAGATTCTAACTCTAATCCTCTTTCACCTGCGGCAGTTTCTCCTCTCCACTTCCTCCCCTGTCTGTAGTGCAGTAAACATGAGAGGGGTTTTGGATGCGCATGTTGTCAGGTAGTCGAACTCCTGGGAACCTCGGTTTCTCCGTCAGCAAAGCGGGGATGGTAACCTCACGAGGAAGCGGTTCAAGTTGTGCAAACGAAGTGGTAATGTCCTCGGTCCGAAGTGATCGGGCTCGACAGGTTGTATCTACAGGACTAACCCACGCTCTCTTCTCGCCGCCGCACCCTTCCCACGCACACACAGCCGTCAGTCGCCACGTCCCGGAACACGTCCCTCGGCTACGGTGCCCGTGCGCCCTCCTCGCTTTGCCCTCTCCGGAGATTTCATGTCGGGCCACCAGGTAACTCTTCCCAGGGCATACTTGCACGTTCCCCAGCTTAAAACAAGCAGCAGGCCCCTTCCCTCGGGGGCGGGGGGGGGGAGTGGGTGGTTCCATGTCCTCCCAGCCACCCCTTTCTGGTCTTTCCCATCGTGCCTGGAGAGGGACCCACCCTCCCGTCAGACGCGTTTGCCCCACTTCCTGGCCCAGAGTGTCCATCAGACCCACCTCGGAGTCCGACTGGGTCCCCACCTCGATCCGTACACGGAGCTGAAGGCGCAGGACCCTCCCTCCTGTGGCATTTATGGGATCTGGAAACATCCTTCAGTACCTCCCAAGGGTGACAATTAAAAGCATAGATATGGAAGCCAGACAATGGTGGTGGTTAAATTAATAAAGCACCTTGCAAATAATAGCACATAATCATTGGAAAGCGCCCGATCAATCCCGATTTTCACTAGTAGTATCGTGGCACACATTTCTTATGTCCCCACTAACCTGTTCCTGGGTGACCATGACCTTCGGTACGGGTGGGACGCTTTGCAATGCTTTGCCTGGTGAACTCCGGCCAGGCTTCCGGCTGGAATTACGTGCTCACAGACTGAATTCTTACAGGCTCTGCGTCCACTCGTTCTCAGGCTTTCAGACGTGAGAACTTCATTGTTGTAAGGAACATGCTCGTTCACACTCACTACAATTGACGTGCGGTTCGAGGATACGGCTTTTAACTCTTTATGAGTGTTGGTTAAAAACCCAGTTTACAAGTCGGGGTGTGCGTGTGGGCACAACAGTGGTCATGCAGTCACATGACATCGTAAACATGACGATGACCCCCCGTTACACACCCTCGTGCCAATGAGCTCCAAGTGGCGCGTTGGGAGCTGTTGTGAAATCCTTTCCTAAGTGCCCCTCATCTCGCCAAACCTGTTTTTCGTCATGATTGGCAGGAGCGGGGACTGATGAAAAGAAGAACGTTTTTTATTTGAGGCTCTCAAAGCACCTGGCAGTTCCTCTGGCTAGGCTGCTGTCCAGGGAGAAGGCTGGCTACATGGCAGCATGTGCTATATTCCAGAATATTCTAGCTATCCTAAGTCACTCGTCCCGGGGCTGTGGGGGCTGTGCTCCCAGGCCGATTCCCCTCTCCCCTCGCCCGCTGGGCCGATGGGAGGCCAACTCGTGGTCTGCCTGGAGCAGTGGTGTGGGGCCGTAGCTGTGGAGTTCTTGCTGGGGTTTTTTTTCCCTGACCCTGTTCAATTTTTCCATGCTTTCTTACCTGTCTTCAGTTTGAGTCATCTTGTCGGCACGTGTATCCTTCAGACGCTTATGTCGCTTTCCGAACACGGTGGGCAGCCAGCAGGTGCAAGCGTAGGTTCTACACCGCCCGCATGTCAGGGGGCCGGGGCGGGCGTGCGGCGGCAGCTCTGCCCCGGACGGGGCGCACGCACTTGGGTTTGATTTCCGCCTGTGACACCTTCCGGACCCGCCGTTGCCCCGTCCTGACGCCCGCCCCGTGCCGTGGGAACAGCGCCCGTAACCCCAGAGATAGCGTGGGTATTGAATAAAATAACTCGTGCAAATTACTCGGTGCATAGTAGGCATTCAATAAATGTCAGTTCCCCTCTTATCCCAGTTAATAATGCTTATTAGACTATATTAAAAACCAGAACCAGACTGTGATAATGCATTTCTTTATTACGTATTTAAGCCAAATAACTAATTTCCCCCAGGGGGAAGGGAGAGACAGGTTGAACCGGTTTCATTTTGTGAACTTATTTATTAGTCTTTTCTTCTCCAGCGTTATTTAGTTTCCTACTCCATAATTTAGTTTTCATGCAACAAAAATGCCACCGTTCCGTGCTCCTGCGCTCTGCTGCGATTTTTGAAAATCTGTTATTACACTTGCCACCGATCGGAGATCGTTATTGATGACATCAGAGCTCGACGGTTGCAGGGCGACCTGGCGCTGGCGGGCCGGTGCCTCCGCGGTTCCCGGAGGTCTGGGGATCTCAGACGGACGGCTCCAAACGGCCACGTCACAGCCGGAGGAAAACGGGGCTGGGGGCCCCCCACGCTCGGTGTTCTCGCGTGTTAATGTGACCCGCTCGCGTGGAAGCGGAGCCACGTCTCTCCACGGACAGCACCTTCGAGAGGCGGGCAGGAACCCTGGGCGCTGACCGCCGAGGCCGGACCAGGGTCCCTGGCACCTTTAAGGGCCGGTGCCCGGGCCTCGCTCAGCCTCCTTCCCGGCCCACCTCTGAACCCTGATTGACAGGGCGCCGGGGAGGAGGAGCCCAAGGAGGCCCGGGAGGAGGTGCAGGCAGGCAAGCAGGGGAGGAGGGGCCGTCTTCCCTCCGGTGGCCAATCACGGAGGGGGGCGTGACCCGCCTTCTCTCGGAGGGCCAATCGGAGGAGGGGGCGTGGCCCGGCCTCTCCTCCTCCCCCCGCGGTCCTCCGCCCCCCTCCTCCACCCCTCCCCCCCCGCCCGCCCCCCCCCCCCCCCCCGCCCTCCTCCTCGGCTGTGGTTTTGTGTGTGCGCTTCTGGAGTCCGGAGCCCGAGCTAAACAAAAGCAGGAGCCGGCGGGGCTGCCGGAGTTTGCGGAGCCGGAGGAGGAGCGAGCCGCGCTGCGCCCGCCGGGCGGGGGGCTGGGGCTCGGGCTCGCCCACCCCTCGGCGGCCGTTCGGCCCGGTGGGGGCGGGGGAAAGTTTGCCTCGCCAGCCCCCTGCCTGGCGCTGCTTTCTCCCGACCCGAGCCTGTTTGCAAAGGGATTAAGCCGCCGATCCGCGCGCCGGAGCCCATTCCTGCCTTGCGAGGAGCCGGACCGCGCGCGCCCGGGGCCAGCTCCGATCGCTTCCGTCCAGGGGGAAGGGGGCTCGTTTTCCTCGCTTTTCGGGAGTCGACACCCTTCTCCCCGGCAGCCCGCCCCCGCCCGCGCCCCGCGCCCCTCCACGCCCCCTCCCCCGCCCGCGCCCCATCCTCCCACCGCCCTGCCAAGAGGGAGGCAAAGGGATTTTTTTTTCTTCGGCGCTTCTTCGCCTGCCCTGTTTATCCTGCCAAGGATCCGGAGACAGCCGGCCGGGTCGGAGCCCGCAGCTGCCCGGGGCCGCGCGCACGAGCCGGGGCCGGGCCGGGCGGCGCGGCGCGGACATGGACGAGCAGCCCAGGCTGATGCACGCCCACGCGGGGGTCGGCATGGCCGGGCACCCCGGCCTGTCCCAGCACTTGCAGGACGGCGCCGCGGGCGCCGAGGGGGAGGGCGGCAGGAAGCAGGACATCGGGGACATCCTCCAGCAGATCATGACCATCACGGACCAGAGTTTGGACGAGGCGCAGGCCAGGTGAGCGGCCGCCTTTTCTTCCCCTTTCTTGGGTGTTTTTGTTTTTCTGCCTCTCGCCGGGGGAAACAATGGGAAGCGGAGCCACACGGCGCTTTCTTTTAAATTGTTGTCTCGTTCCCCGTTCCGCCGAGCAACTCCATGGCGGAGCCGTGCGGGCCAAGGCGCGTGGCGGCCGCCGGCGGAGTCGCCCGGCCCGGCGGCCGTGCGGGGCGGGAGCGGGCGTGGGGACGCGGAGGCACGCGCCCGCGCCCACGCACACGCCCGGCTCGCGGAGCGCCGCCGCGGCCCGGCGGCCGCACTTTCGGCGGCTTTAAAAAAGTATCTCGGAGCCGCTTGGCAAGTTGTGGGCAGATTCCGTGTCTTCTCCGCGAGGGGCCCGTGACACGACAAAATAAAATGTCCCAACAACACTTGCTTTGCAGGTTTACGGACTCCTTACCTACATCGCAGACTTTTGATTTTCTTCCCTGATTTTTTTCTCCTCCAAAATAAATTTTTATCTCTTCTCTTTTCTGCTCCCTTAAAAAAAAAAGGGCAGGGTAATTCTTTGTTACTAGTTGTCAACTCTGCAGAAAATACTTTATACTCATTTAATTCTTTTCCCCCGCAAAAAAGCCGATGGGAAGATAGAAAAGGTAATTTTGCTTTTAGACGTATTTGTTAGTTTTAAGAGACTGTGATATTTAGTTCAACTTTATTGTCTCAGTTTGAGTCTGTGTACTGACCTTCCACGGCACGGGACGTGTGGTCCTTTAAAAAGGGGTGGGGGACAGAATGCAGGCATGCCTCCCCCCCATGCCACTTTCAGGACCACTTAGAATGCACCGAGACAGAAAGGAAGGCACATGTGAATTTTACGTGTCCCAGTCCTGGAGGGCATGACGGTCAGAAGGGAGACATCATAAATGAGCCGTGTGGCTTCTCAGCTTAACCCACCGCCAGGGATCTAGTTCCCCACTCCAGGATTTTACGGTAAATTCTCTTTCAAAACAAAACACAGACTCGTTGGCAAGCCACTAACAGCTCGCCCAAGGCCCATCTCGAAAGGAAGAATTTTTACAGTGTCGTGACCACGTAGGTGTTAGCAGTTACCCAGCTTTGTGAAGTCTCAGCAGGTTGACACACACTCTCACGTACGATCCCTGTACTTCGGGTGACGAGGTTGTGTGGGAAAGGCGGCGTTATATGTATGTTTGTCTTCAGGAAACTGGGATTTGAGTTGAGGAACGAGAAGGAGCAGTTAAAAACATGGGCGTTGGGATTTCCACTCTCATTTCGGTGGCTCACACATGCAACATGTAAGCTCAGAAGTGCTGAGGCTCACCGGGCTTTGCAAACTTGGAGAGGTGCAAAGGCTGGACCTAGCCTACATTTTTGTAAATAGGGGAAAGTTTTCCAAAATTAACCCGTGTTCTTTTAGAATTTTATTTTCTGAAGAAAAGCCGGTGGGTGGGTGGAAGCTTTCCCACGGGCATTTCCTTCTCAGTCGGAACCCATTTCCCTGTTCCATTGTTCCAGGAAGATAAACTCAGACGAGCCAGTGAGCTGCCTTAGTAATGAGTTGGTGGCAAGGAAGGGGCCGGGAAGCCTGGGCATTCTCCCCTTCCCTGGTGTTTAGTCCCGCTCCTTTCTGTGCGGCTAGGCACACCCGCGGCTCGGCGGTCCCCTCTCCCACTGGCCTCCCTGCCGAGAGCGGGGCACAGCAGGGGTTCAGGGCTCTGCTCGCTCTCCGACCCCCCGGCGAGGTGCTGCGGACATGCAGTGTTTCAGGAAAGCTGCCTGGGCTTGCTTTTGTTTTTCTTTTTCCTTTCTTTCTTTTTTTACCTTTTTTTTTTTTTGCATTTGGGCCTATATATAAGAATACAATTAATGAAAACTGTTTTAAAAGGCCCTCCAAAGAGATCTTGGATACGTTCAAGCCTCGCCCACCCTTCTTTTCACCCCTCACAACTAAATGACCACTAGGCTTTCTCTTCGGGTCACGGTGTAACTCCGCTCGGCAAATGCTGGATCTGGTTTTCCTTTCACGGCTGCGCCTTCCTACGATATGTTTATCCTCTACAAAGTAAATCATGAGTATTTTAGATACAATGTGTGTATTTGTTTGGTAGTCTTAGCTGGTGCCTCCTCTGCTGTGGAGCACACAGGGCATGCTCTGGTTTCTGTTCTTCAAGACGGGTATCTATTTTTTTTTTTTAACTTTCAAAGGGATTAAAAAAGAATCGCGTGCATGTTCAGTGCCAGGGGCTTTCATTTCTCTTTGCACACTGATTTTAGTTAGCACACAGAGTTCCCTTGACTGAGGGCTGATACGATCAGTGTTCTGTTTCCAAAACAGTGTCTTTCTGCTAAGTGCTCCCACAGTCAGATGAAGAGAAAGGTATTGTCTCGTTCCTCACGTGCATTCTGAATGCAGAGCGCACAAGAACCAGGTAAACTGCTAATCTAAGAGGCAGAATTGTATTTATTTTTCCCCCAATGGGTGCAAGGTCCTAATTGTAAATAATTGAATTTCAACACCTGCAAATAAGCGCTGTGTGCGCAGGAGGCATGATGTGAACACAGAGAAATGAATTTACTCCCCATATGGGCATGTCTGCCCCCTGGCAATGCATTTCCATACTCTTTAACTCGGGGACTGAAATTTTATAAATTGCCAGTTCTGCTCAGAAGACCTTTCGAGCATCTTGTGTTTATGAGAATACGGGGAAATCTGCGGAATGAATTCGAGCACATGGACGGATTAAATTTGAAAACACACGCAGCCCGAGAGGCAGGGCTGCTCCTGGGCTGTGGGGGTGACATAGATTTTCTGGAACTGTGAACCCATGCGCTGGCTTTGCGCTTTTGATTGCCCAGGACAGTGTTATGGGTTTAAGATTTCCACTTTGATTAAACTACTTAAAAAAAAAGAATCCCGGCTCTGCCTAAATGGGCATCATTTAGGTTAGTTTAGTTCTGTAGTTAAGTCCCTGCTCCCCCTGCTCATTAACGTGATTTCTTTTTGCGTGGCGGGGCTCTGTACATTAAGTCATAAAACCGCCGAAGCGTGCCACGGAGTTGTGCTTGGGGCGTGACCGCGGCCCAACGCTGGGTTCTCCCCCACGTCGCACCACGAGCCGCCTGGGCCTGGCGGCCCACCTAAGCCGTGCTGTTGCTCCTCTCTTGCAGAAAACACGCTTTGAACTGCCACAGGATGAAGCCGGCCTTGTTCAATGTGCTGTGTGAGATCAAAGAGAAAACAGGTAGGACCGAGGCGGCGGCGTCTCAGCCTTTTCTTTGGCCGACGGGCTCCCGTCACCGGCAGCCAGGGCCCATTATTTAGATATTAAAATTGCAGAGTGGAAGTACTCTGGGATTGATCGCGGGCTCCGTGGGGCGTCCGGCCCCGGCCCCCCGAGGGAGGGGGCCGAGTTTCGCGGACCGTCCTTGTCAGGCCGGCTGCCTCCTTCCCCTCCCCTCGGCTCCCAGCGCCCGGCCCACGGGGGCCGAGGGCCTGGAGGCTCTGGAGGGAAGCTTGTGGGACGACGTGCCTTTTGGGGGAAAATGTGAAAGTAAACGTCCATTTCCTGAAGGAGCACATCTTGGCCCACATTTCAAACACTCATTTCGGGGGAGTTGTGTAAAGTTCCCTTCCCCCGGTCTCGCCGCCACAGGGAGCAGCAGCACCCAGAGGCCCTCGCCAGGGCCTGCAGAGCGGCCGCCTCTGCAGCAGCAGGCTCCGGCCGGGGGAGGGCCTGCGGCCTGGGAGCAGGAGCAGGAGCAGGAGCAGGGCCGTGGCCGGCCGGGGAGCGCGCAACGCCGCGAGCCGACTCCTGCTGTGTGCTCCACTTTCTCCTGGCGGGGACTGACAGGCTCACGACACACCCCGGGGGGCACTCAGATCCTGAAGCCGCGATTAAAAAGGAGCAGTCACCAGTCGGTGTTGCTAGACCACAGAGGCCTGGGAAAGGACACTCGGCAGTGTCCTCGCGTGTGTTTATTTTACTCCTTGGTTTCCCGGAGTGGGCGAGTCTCGGCCTCCTGCAGAGACAGAGCCGAGGGGCGGGTGGGGGAGCGGGCAGGGAGACGGAGACGGAGAGCCGGGCACGCAGAGGTGAGCGGCCGCCGGCCTCCGACGTGGCGCCGGCCCTCAGCCGCGCGGAGTACCTGACAGCCGCGTTATTTATTTATTTCCCACAACGAGGAGTGTAACAGCCAATAATTCACACCGGAGCTGTGTAAGCAAGGGCACGACATGGGTGCAAGTGACAATAAACACGATTGCATGCCCGGCTGATCTACATTGATAGTTACACACGGAAGGGGGGTGGGGGGCACCCAGGGTGGCTTTCTGTCCGAGAGTGCTCTGGCTTTCTCTTTTAAAAAATAAATAGTTTCAAGATGTGGCCGTGTGGTGGACTATGTAATTACTTGGGGCTGGAATTGTATGAAAAATTAGTGAGCAGCTCCTTTGTTGAGTGTTCCCGGCGCGGCACGGAGCGCCCGAGACAAAGCACCTGGGCAGCGGCGCCCGGGCCTCCAGGTCACCCGCTGGCCCTCCCTCCCTCCCCGCCCCGGCAGGGCCGCCCTGGCGTGGTGTCGGCGGCGAGGCCCCTCTGCAGAGGTCGGGGGTCGTGCACACCGGCGTGCAGGGCTCTCTCGGTGCGGCACACTGGGTAGTTTCCCTGTCGGCTCCCGGCCGGCGACCCAAGTGCACGCACATGCTTCTCCTCTCTCCCCTTCCCTCCCCTTTTCTCTCTTCGCCGTCGTCTTTTTGAAAACCTTGGTTTCTTTTTTTATCGTAAATGTTTGGTTTGGTGAAATCTGTGTCTGATCTAGCGTGTGTTCTGTGGCTGATCTTGGTTCTTGGAGTGTGGAGTGAAGACACGAAAGCGTGTTTGATGGCCCAGGCTGGAGAGACTCTGTTTGTGAGGACACTCCATCGGGTTTTCACCGGGAGGAGGCCGCCAGGGCACTGAACTCTAGGTGGTGGCCACAGTGTTTAATTCCAGGTTCTAATGAAACCTGCTGAGGCTGTCGATGGAAGCGGGTGGGTCTGGGCGGAGGTCTGGTTCCGGTGCGGGCCGGGGGCGTGTGGCTTATTCACGTTAGCTCAGCCCTTGGGGCAGGGGCAGCCGTGTCGGTCAGAATACACTGCAAAGGTGTAATTTATTGTTGGCACGTATATATGTATGTATTGTCTTAAAAAATCGCCTGTCATTTAATGGCACTCGTATTTGGAGATTTTTAAAAATCTAAACCGAGGGCTTATGTGTTGTTTCTAGAAGAATATATTAAAACAACGCCGTGTCAAGCGTCATAAATTGAAAATGATCAGCATCACCGCCGTGTTAGGGGAGATGCGCACGCACACACACGGAGTTTTGGACTGAGAAGGCTTCAATGAGTGGAAGTTAAAAAATAAAAAAGGAGAGACAGGAAGAAAAAAGAAAAAGAAGGAAAAAGGCCCTCCCCTCTGGTTTCCCGCTCGTGTGTTGCGAGCGCTGGGACTGGCAGGAACCTCTCCGGGAGGAAGGCTGGGCGTCTGCGGGACGGGGGGCCGCCCGGCGCGGCGCCGGTGCCGGGGCGCAGCCGCCCCTCCCCGGGCCCTGCTGCAGGTCCTGGTGAGCGGGGTGGGTCTGGGCGCGGGCTGGAAACCGGCACGGGTCTCCGACCGGAGCCCGTGGAGAGGCACACACGGGCCGTCCTTGTGCCGCGTCCTTTGAGCCCCTCGCACTTCACGAGGATTTCTGAGCCGCCCTCTGAGGCATCCCGGGCGTCTTGGGTTTCGGGTGGGCCTCGCTGGTTCGTCTCGTCACGCGAGGGTCGCCAGGTTCACGGCCGGCTCGCCGACGCGGGTGGGCCTCGGAGGAGCCCGGGCATTGCGTTCATTTGCTGCTTTTGCTCTTTTGCTTTTGTTAATGACTCCAGTTGGGAGACTCAGCGAAGATTCTCGCCGACCTTCCAGAAGTTTAAAGGAACAGGCACACGACACTCAACACAGGCAGCAGCAGCCCCAGTGCAGTTGATTGATCGGTGTTTAAGTCAGAAATTACTGTGGGGGTATTACCAAAAAATGTGTCTTCTTGCCTCTGGGTGTGGAGCAAGTTTTTGCTCTGATGCCTTTCTGCTCTGTAAAGAAGTGCTAGGAGGAGAGAGTCCCAGCGAGGTGCCGGGCAGACAGGTCTCGAGCGGCCGCAGGGAGACCCTATCTGGACGCCCCCCACCCCCACCCCCGGGACGTGTGTTTCCAGAGTGGCTGTCCTCTCCTCTGAGCTCCTTCTGGGCCGGGAGGTGCAATGCAGAGTTCGGGCCTCGGGCCGCCGCGTCTCCTTGGGCCCCAGCGTCCGACCCCTGCCTTCCGAGGCCCCCCGGGTGTGCGCGTGCCCGTGGCAGGGCCGGCGGCGGGCACGAGGAGCGAGAAGTCCCAGACCACGTTTCAGACGAAGACCTTGATTATGCTAAAAACACCTCTTGTTTTCCTTTGTAAATTCTGCGCCAGAAGTCACGCAGGGTTAACTATCGGGACAACAGAAAGTCCGCGGGCCCCTCACTTGGGGGGGGGTCGCAGGCGGCGGGGAAGAGCCGGGAACTGCCGGGGACGGTTTTTCACGTCGGCGCGCGCCGGCCCGTGGCACCTTCCAGGGCCGGCTGCTGCGCTGCCGTGAAGCCGGATCGCTGGGAGAGCCGGGAACCAGTTCTGGCTTCCTCGACGGTCCTCTGTGCTCTGTCCTTCGTTCCCGGTGCTCACGGAGCACCCCCGGCGGGGCCCCGTGGGCTTCCCTGTCCACTCTCCACTCTGCCCTGCGCCCGCCGCTGCCCCTCGCTGCCGCAGCTGCTCCCGGGGCGCCCTCCGCCCGCTGCTGCCAGCCCGGGAGCACCGCTCGTGCGTGGGTTCCTGCGGGTGGGGCCCCGGGAGGAAGCGTGGGTCGTGGAAAAGGGCTCTGACGGCCCGAGGCCGGGAGCACAGAACCGGCGCCGAGGACCCTCGGCAGTTGCGCGAGCCGCCCGCCGTCCGGTGCCTTGAGGAGGGGAGACCGCCGAAGCGGCTTTCCACAGAAGTTTGTCTGGAGCAGAGTTCAAGTGTGTGTGTGTGCGTGTGTCCCCCCCCCCCCCCGGGTCTGAGCGAGACAGAAGGGGAGAAAATCCGGGGCAGGGAGCTGCTCGCTGACCTCACCGCGTTCGAGGCACAGCCGTGTGTGAGGCAGGAGTAACGTGATCAGGCCATGAACTATTTATTCATCGTGATGTGGACGCGAACCGTGGCGCTCGCCTGGAGAGGTGTCCCTCCTCCTCCTCACCTGGGTGCGATCTGTTTCCACCAAGTTCTGGCATGTGAGGGGGGGAGGCGGGGGTGCAGAGGGCACCTACCCGAACGGACTTGCGGAATCGGGTGTCCGTCCCGTCTGCTAACAAAGGGAGCGTGTCTGAGGGTTGGAGACGAGAGGCCCAGGGCGCTGGGGGAGTGCAGATCAGAGGGGAGGACTGCGGCCTCGCAAGTGCGGGGGTGGGCTCTCAGCGGGTGGGCTGCCGGGGGTGGGGGCACGGTCCTGTGTGCAGCCCGCCGCCAGTGCCAGGCCTCTCGCACAGGGTGGCCCCGGCGCCCTCCTGATGCACGAATTTCTGGTCGCCGTTGTTGGCAGATCACAAAAGATACTTCCAATGAGCAAACACGCCGAAACTCAGCTGTTGCACAGACAGGGTCCAGCAGAAGTCACGGCGCTGGGTGTGGTGGGTCGGGGACGGGGACGTCGCGCACGAGATGGACGGCAATTTGAACGTGTCACCTCAAGTGTCATATGGTGTGCTGGAGTGTGATGCTGTGTCACAGAGCTACACACTTACAATTTTGTGATAAAATATTTTTGTGCAATAAAAAAGGGGTGTTACTCGTGCCAGACGCGTGTTTACATGGGAAGGCATTTCCGTTCTCACGGAAAGCCTGACCCTGGCTACTCCTGAGAGACCCCCCGTGTGCCCGCTTTGGGGGCGCTCGGCCTTCATGTTGGGCTCAGGTCTCTTGTGCATGGACACTGCTGTGCTTTCCACTCGGGGAAGCGAGCCTAAATATAGCTTCGTCCCTTCTCCTTTTCGTGGATTTTTTCTTGCGCGCCCCCTGATGGGGCAGTGTCCCAGGCCCAGCCAGCCCTCAGAGGCAGCTGTAACTCATTTGCACGTGACCCTGCGGCCCCCGGTCCGCGGTTTAGCCCGGGTCGCAGGAGGAGCCACGTACTGCCGGCCCCACCCCGGGGTGTGCGGTGTA